TTTTTGGCCTAAGGAGAAAATGTTCTCAAGTGAAATATTTCATAATTTCCAGACAGCGCACAAGCAGAAAACTGAACCCGCGACCTTCGAATTACTAGATGGATGCCCTATAGTACCAACTGAGCTACACGGTCAGGACGGATCAAAGACTGGAAATTATGAACTCGTTTATATATATTTCAAAAACCCATGAGGAAACACAAAGAAAAATCACAAGTGTGTCGTATCCTTATATGTGATAGAGATTCCCCTTGATTTACATAAATTTTAACTTTGATTTTCCCGACTTACACAACGCATTTTTTTGAAAATTACTTTGCCAATGAACTTACTAGATCGATCGTTTTTGAAGAAGTTCTAAAACATTCGCAGTGCGTGCATGTTTTATCAGACCAGGGCGGATCAGATCTGCTCAAACACTCTGCTGCTCATGTTTTAAATAGTACGTACAACTAATTCAAAAAAGGTTTTCCTTCAAAACCTTTAACCTTAAACTCTAAGCACGAAAAGGGCACCTTACGAAAATAGTCTATAGGTGGCCTATAGGTTCCTATAGGAAATGTTCCAATTCCCTATAGAAGCCTTTAGGCACCTATATAGCTCTATAAGCTTATAGGCATCCCTATAGGTCACCTATAGAAAATGTTCCAATTGCCTATAAAAACCTATAGGTTTCCTATAGAAACCTATAGGTTGGCCTATAGGCCAGGCCTATAGAGTGGTTACCGTGTTTAATTAAAAAGATTTAATTATCATAACTCCTTGTTCATCACCTCGTATAACATTGTTTCTAAATTGTAGATATCAGACATTCATATTAGCAAATTCCGTGATCCAACTCGGCAAAAAGATTTAAAAGTTTTCTGTGATAAACATATTGATATTCTACAACCTGTAGCAGTGCTTGTCACAGGTAAGCTTGAATTATGCATTACATGTCACACCTGCAGATAATAGTTTTGTATACATGTATATATAGACATTACGTCAGCTCTGATATTACGTCAGCTCCAAATTTCATATGGAAGCAGGCGAAAGTATTTCAGTGTAATTTCAGAATTTATTTTACTCCTTTTCGTTGAAACCGTATATTATTAAATAAAATTAATATATCGGCTAGTTTATGAGTGAAATCATTCAACGACTCTTTCGACTTAACGTTTTGCGCAAAATACCAAAGATCCTTCGCCAAGGATAGTCAGTGACTGAGCTACACCAGTCACTCAGTCAGTCATCAGTCATGTCTAATAAGAAATGTTAGTTAGAATTACGAAACGGATCGGAGCAAGTAATTAAACTTTATAGTAACTTCAAATCGTTCAACAACTTAATTTTTCCATTACCAAAAGTTCATTGAAATAAGAAATAATTTTTCATGATTTTGTCTGCCGGAGTTTTCCAACTCCGCCAAGATATGCCGGAGCTCCGCCAAGATATGCCGGAGCTCCGCCAAGATATGCCGGAGCTCCGCCAAGATATGCCGGAGCTCCGCCAAGATATGCCGGAGCTCCGCCAAAATATACCGAAGCTCCGCCAAGATATGCCGGAGCTCCGCCAAGATATGCCGGAGCTCCGCCAAGATATGCCGGAGCTCCGCCAAGATATGCCGAAGCTCCGCCAAGATATGCCGGAGCTCCGCCAAGATATGCCGGAGCTCCGCCAAGATATGCCGAAGCTTCGCCAAGATATGCCGGAGCTCCGCCAAGATATGCCGGAGCTCCGCCAAGATATGCCGGAGCTCTGCCACTCCAGCTCCGGCGCACATGCAGCTCTAAAATAGAGCCATAAATTGTACATGGCGAGATTTGCCTCGTTAACTGAAAGCGATTTACAAAAACTACTAAACAGAAAAGAAGCAGAAGCCACTAAACGAGCTACAAATATAGCATTAACCCCTTGAGTGGCAGCACTTACTCCAATTGACGAGTACTGAAAATCATCTGCCATTAGACAGAGTAAAATAATAAAATAGGGCGCATATATACAGGGTGTATCAAAATAAACGCAATTCATCTTTTGTGCTTAATAACTTTCGAAATACTATTTCTAGTTAAACGCTTTTAGGCTTACTTCAAAGCCTGTTCTTTTCTCTTTCACACAAACTATTATTCTTGTCTCCAATGCTAGTAATAATTGCACAGGAAAAGATTTAGTAAAACCTATCATTTTTAGTTGCTGTTTAATTATGCAAGTTTACTATGTTATTGTTTAGTCTGTTTAAATGTTAGAATTTTCTTCTTTAAACTTTAATGTTGTCGTCACTACATCTGGAAAACCACGTAAGAACAAATTAAAAGTATTTTAAAAGAGACCAGGTTGTTTGAAAATCCTAAACGAATGCTAAAATCGTCAAAACATTCTGGTGTCTGAGCCAGAGTGTCATCGAATTACGATGTAATGTAAACAGAAATTATAGCAAGTTGATGTCAGTCAGCTTAGATGGTCCAAGCCAAAATTATATCGCATTTGAAGTTTCAAACTGAGTTAAAAATAGTGGAAGAAAAGCCGTAATTATACTTATTGTTAAAATCCATTTAATAAAATGCAACATTTTTTTGTTTTAATGAAAAAATCAGTTATTTTCATGAGAACGATTTGTTATTCCATCTTAATTTTTTTAATCTCCAATCGCAATAACGTAAAGTATTATTACCCGCGAACCGATGAGTCAAATTTAAGAAACAACCCACTGTTAGAAAGCTGAATGGCTACGCTTTAAAATGAATGTAAACTTTAACGTTTTCGTCTATTATTTGTTTAGCAATTTACATTTCAGTCGAGGATTGCGCTTTTTTTGATACACCCTGTATATGCATCATCGCCAAAAGATAAGCGAGCTTATCTAAACCAAAACAATTTTGTTTTTCCTACATACGCGTAATCGAGAATTATCAAGATATAAATTATTATAAATTAGGCTAACTCGTCCAATAGTTATTAATTGCCACAATGCGGGACGGGACGACTTGCGCTTTAGAAAAAAATTTTAATCTGGGAATAACAAAGGATATTTTCGGAAAGAAGTTATCAAAATTAGAAAAACTGCAAAGTTTGGTTGCGAAATGTTGTAAAATACGGAAAATATAGCCCTGCGAAGTTGGCGAACTTGTATACATTTCTATTACGTGCGAAAATTGGTAACTAATTTAGTTACCAATTCACGCACGTAATACAAAAGTATACAAATTTGCCAACTTTGAAGGGCTATATTTTCCGTATTTTACAACATTTCGCAACCAAACTTTGTAATATTACTAATAGACGGCCGGCCAAGTCATCAATTTGTACAACTTGATGGCAACTTTATGTTAGAAGCTGGTAACAGGCATTTTCTTGTAGTTTAAGCCTTGGTGAACAAGACTGTGTGTGTTACCACTTCTGATTTTTGCTTTATAGCCAAAAATTTGAGAATTTTAAAATTTTGCCTATTAAATTACTATGATCGGAAAAAATGTAAAATTTCATGTTCTCTTATACGAAATATAAACTATACCACTAGAAAGAGCGTAAAAAACTGTATATAAGACAATTAAGTGAGTTCTACGTTTTTCCAATCCTATTTCGAGTTTTTAATGTTAATGCTAATTAGTACCCATTTTGCCAACTTTAACCATCTTTAATTCAAAATCGGCTTGAAAATCGCACTAGTCGCTTAAGTTGTCTTATATATAGTTTTTTACGCTCTTTCTAGTGGTATAGTTTATTTTTCGTATAAGAGAACACGAAATTTTACATTTTTTCCGATCATAGTAATTTAATAGGCAAAATTTAAAAATTCTCAAATTTTTGGCTATAAAGCAAAAATCAGAAGTGGTAACACACACAGTCTTATTCACCAAGTCTTGAACTATAAGAAAATGCCTGTTACCAGCTTCTAACATAAAGTTGCCATCAAACTCTCTTTAGAGGCACTTTTTGCCACCTTGGCCGGCCGACTATAACTCCAAGACGCTCTTTCTAGCTGTGGTGCTAGATTTCGTTGTTCTTACTTAGGCCCCGTTTACACTATACCAGATTCGCTCGTCACGCGATCATCTTCTGCCGTTAAGGAGCAATGGTTAGTAGCAAATGCTTATTGGTTTGACAGAATTGGCTTGTTTATTTGGGTCTCTGAGATTAAAAATCTTCACAGCCTTTCGATACCTACAAAATTTGACCCACTCCGATAGAAATCCGGTATAGTGTAAACGGGGCCTTAGATTAAAATTTAGTCTAAAGCGCAAGTCGTCCATTGACATGCAGGATTATTGGGCCACATGTTCGATTGCTGCCAGAGGGCTATAGTTGCATTTTTCGCAACTGCTCCTGGTAATGGTCAATATATAAAAATTCACACTTGGGATTTCCATCTAGAAAAGCCTTGAAGATAATACTCTATCTACTCGCATTCATGCACACTTTGCAGGTGATATCGTTGATGCAAAAGATAGATTTCAAATCGGTTCAGAGCAGTATGTCGAAGAATGGGAAATTTATCAAAAAATTTTGAAGGAGTCGGCAGTTGGAAAGAAAACTCAATGGCTCGACGTGAGAGGAAATCATGGTATGAGGAAATCACGTAGTGAAAATCTTGTCAACTATACACTGCCACGTAAATGTTGTTACAGATCTGCAGTCTGTTGGCCTCATCAATTTTGTTAACAACGTACTATTCCAGACTCATCAACAACTGGGAACAAGCATTGCGAACACAACCTGTGAGATTTTACGCGTGTAGATGTGTCAGCAACAGGCTTGTAACAAGCTTGTCAGCAACTTGTAACAATGTTGTTACTTTGCCAAGTTGCTACAAAGTTGTTGACAAATTGTTGAATTGCACGACGATAGCAGTGGAAAAACATGGCAAAATAATACGAATACGTAAACAGAGTTCGTCCAAAACTTGATTAAAAGTCCTTGTATAATTTGAAAACAAAAATTCAAGGTCTTGATTGTCCTTGAATTTGTAAAGGAATACTTGAATGTCCTTAAACTTTTCTTGTTTTAGTTTTTGGATATTTTCTGAAATTGTTTGACATTCAAAACGGACATTTTGTTGAATATTTCCCCCATACACCTTACATTGACTTCACTTCAGTATATATACATGAACGTGCGGTTAGAGCTCAACCACTGGCATCTGTACCTCAGTTTGTTAGAGCGCTGCATCGGAATTGCAGAGCCGCAGGCAATTCGATTCCTGCCGGAGGACCTACAATCCTGGCAAAAATTATGTGGACACCTAACTTTTCTAACGCCAATATTAACATCGAGACGTTCTTTCATGAAATTTGTCGCCCGCTACCCCCTATTCAATGTTGTTTCGCGCATTTAAATTTGAAAAGTTTCATTTACCAACATTGAATTGGGGGAAGGAGGGGGAGAAATTTTCTGGGGATTAATTCTGTAGAAATACATCTATTTTTGTTTGACGCACGCGGTGTCCACAATAATTTTTGCCAGGATTGTAGCATTTCGTAACTGTTCCTGGTTAAGACTAATAAATGTATAGGATTTACACTCGAAAAAGCATAATTCACGTCTAACCATATAGAAAAAATAAGTTGAACAAAATTGTTCGCCTACTGAGATTAAATTTCTTTTGTTCCTAGATAACTTTGATGTGCCATCATTTGACAGTGAACAAAACATGTTTAGGTATTATAGATACATATATTCTTTGTCATCTTCCTCAACATTCTTGGAACATTATAAGGGGGGAGGATTTTCCTTGCAAGAAATTCGGAGCTTTGTCGAACACTTTTTACAGCAGAAGCATAGTTGCAGGAATTTTCCCCCTAAATGCTTCACATGAACAAAAACAACAACAACAACAACAATTTAATTTAATTTGTACCACATATAATAAATTGCAAACAATTATAGATATTAAAATAAAAGATACTGACACCTGTTGTTTAAATAACCAGATTGGCTAACAGAATAGACAACCGTTGTTACGTTTTACTCATTAGATATGTAGTTTTTTACTTGGGTTGCAACAAACAAAAGATTTCGAGTTAATAATTAATATCAATCAATCGTAGTCAGACATTCACGCGATTATATGCCAGAGGAAAAATAATTACAAAAGATAGGAGCTGGTATTTAATTCTCTAAGACTTCCTTGACGAAAATTTTCTTAAATTCTGAAATTGGTATTTTTTCAAATTGTCACTAAGAAAATTCCAGGTGTTTGGGCCCACATACCTAATATCCAGGTGATCTTGATACGCAGAAAAGTACTGGCACTAGTTGTCAAATAGAAATCCATTTTATGATTAAAACAACTGAATATCTCCTGTAATATACTTTATTTCGATTTCATATTTTTGTCAGAGCTATAGTTCTCATAACCAAACATAATTACAAAATTTCAACTAGTTTCATGAAGAATAACGAAAGATATAATTGATTGAATACATCAAAATGGATTTCTATTCGGACAACCATTTCTGAGCGCTGATTGGCTAAAATACGAACACGAGATCACCTGGATTAAAGTGACCATAATTAATTTTTGGCAACGAATATGAATTCTAGCAGAAAGTCTTGTATTGTGTTGTATGAGTCTGATTCACACTTATACAGCTGTTTCAATTAAGGTTGTCAACGTGCAAAGCGAAAAAGTCGAATACGAGCGCGAAAGGCTGCTGGGAATCGCTAAAAAAATAATAAATTTATTAGCGATTCCCAGCATTCTTTCACGCACGTATTCGACTTTTCCGCTTTGCGCGTAGACAACCTTAATTGAAACAGCTGTATATACGAAAAATTGATCGAACACAGGTGGTAGAAGAAAGTTATGAAACTTGCGGTACTAAGATAAATCAAGTGAGAAAGTTTTGATAGTCCAAGTGATTTAAAAAGTGGACTAGTCGGGGCATCAAAATTAGGGAAAGTCATAATACGAATAGCTTTCTTTTGTGATATGTTATGCTAAATTTCGTGTCTCGGTGAACAACCTTGCATCATTCACATCTACTTCCGTGAATAATTGTTAAACATCTTATTTTGTATTAAACGTCTCTTTTCATATCTAGGAAATATTCCATGAGTGCCATTCATGCTGACCGGCGGGATTCGAGATCATATCAAGTCGTTTACGAAACTAAATTTGGGAAATATTCATTAAATGGTGTTGACCCAGGGCTTGATCCAGGACCAAAAAGACCGTTCAATTTTTTCGGACAATTCAACGAGGTAAATACGTGATGTTTTCCAGTGAATCACCAGCCTGAAATTTAGGCAATTATAAGCACCCAGAATACAAGAACTCCTTTCAGGCTGGCAAATGAAACTGGTTCTTAAAAAACCACATTAAACTTTTAGGTGAATTAGTAAGCAGGTACTAGGAAGAAAACAAAATACTGTAATCTTGCTAGCAGGAATTATATCTTTCATCCACATTATGCATGCACTTATTTTATCAAAACTAGTTTCACGATACATAATTTAAATTAATAGTTCAGCCCTTGTACAAATACTTATCAACTATTAGCACATGGCAGGGAACCGCAACAGCGCAAGCCAATTACTGCGATCTCTTTAACAACAACAAGCACAATGATAATATAAGAACAAGTTGTTTTCTTGTCCTCAGAGGCAAGTCGTAAGATACTACTTCGACACTAAACCAACTCTTACGCCCGTATTCTAAAAGCTCACCCACATTCACACTCAAAGAGTGGAGGTTCAATCTGAGCTTCTCTTCAGTGTCAATGCTGTTTTTGAAAAGCTGCATGGAGTGTGAGTAGTCACATAGTAAGGTACGACGCTAACCCTCCAGCTATTCAAAAACGTGTGAGTGTGAGTGAGATTTTAGAATACGGGCGCCAGACTCATTAAATTATAACGAGAGAAATTTACGTTTAAGCAACGAATACTGTTTTGAAGACAACGAACTAACGCCCGTATTCTAAAAGCCTACTCACACTCAATGAGTGGAAGTTCAATCTGAGCTTCTCTCGAGTGTCATTGCTGGTTTTGAATAGCTGGAGGGTTAGTGTCTTACCTTACTATGTGACTACTCACCCTCCAGCTGTTCAAAAACAGCATTGACACTGAAGAGAAGCTCAATTGAACTTCCACTCATTGAGTGTGAATGTAAGTGAGCTTTTAGAATACAGGCGTAACTCTTTCCGAAACATACAACAAACAAAAAACAATATCTACGTGCAACACGAGGTCGGATTTGTAGGACTACGAACACATTTACCCAACTAGAGGGCACTCTGAGACTGCATACCTCCGCCCGTTACTCGGAAGTGAAACGCAACCTTGGAATTTCCTAAGAAATCCACTTTATAATTCTTAAGCATAAAAGATTTCAGGCCCCGCGAATTGAAATCGAATTGCTAAAGATCATATTACTGTTGTTGTACTGTACAGTACTTGTAAAATAAAACTTATTAAGTGTCATTAAATAAATGCATAAATTTTGCTTTATGCACTCGCGCGTGCAGTAATTTTCACAGTTGTGCTATTTTAAATTCCCAGGCAGCTAAAATCTTTTGTCTTTAAAACAATGTCGATTTCTTGGGAAATTCCGAGGTTGCGTTCTTTTTATACACCCTGTATTGAAGTAATCTAATGTTGTTAGAATTTGAATGGACTGGCACTTTGCTGAACGTAATAATGCGTAACTCCGCAAGCCTTGTTTTAGACATTGAATTTCGGTCGCGTGAAATGCAACTAAGACAATAGATAATGAAGGCCGAAGCTTAATGAGGTTTATCATCTCATTACTGTCTTAGCACTGAGTGCATAAATTATACACGTCCTAATTACGCATTCAGTAATATTTACCTCCGCCAGGAGGTTATGTAATCATCTGGGTTTGTATGTGTGTGTGTGTGTGTGTATGTGTGTGTGTATGTGTGTGTGTGTGTATGTGTGTGTGTGTGTATGTGTGTGTGTGTGTATGTGTGTGTGTTTGTCTGTGAGCACGATAACTCAAGAAATACCAAACATATCCGTACGAAATTTTTTGAATGCATTTCCCATCGGCTAAGGAAGAACTGATTAAAATTTGGTTGAATTTGGTTAAAAATTGAACGAGAAATGAACAAAATTTTGTCTTGATTTTCCCGGTCAATTAACAAAATATATTACTGAATGCGTAATTAGGACATGTATAATTTATGCACTCAGTGCTAATACAGTAATGAGATGATAAACCTCATTAAGCTTCGGCCTTCATTATCTATTGTCTTAGTTGCATTTCACGCGACCGAAATTCAATGTCTAAAACAAGGCTTACGGAGTTACGCATTATTACGTTCAGCAAAGTGCCAGTCCATTCAAATTCTAACAACATTAGATTACTTCAATACAGGGTGTATAAAAAGAACGCAACCTCGGAATTTCCCAAGAAATCGACATTGTTTTAAAGACAAAATATTTTAGCTGCCTGGGAATTTAAAATAGCACAACTGTGAAAATTACTGCACGCGCGAGTGCATAAAGCAAAATTTATGCATTTATTTAATGACACTTAATAAGTTTTTATTTTACAAGTACTGTACAGCACAACAACAGTAATATGTTCTATTAGCAATTCGATTTCAATTCGCGGGGGCCTGAAATCTTTTATGCTTAGGATTTATAAAGTGGATTTCTTAGGAAATTCCAAGGTTGCGTTTCACTTCCGAGTAACGGGCGGAGGTATGTAGTCTCTGAGTGCCCTCTAGTTTTTACTGTGATCAAAAGCTTTGCAATCTACTAACTTACTACCTGTCGCAAATCATAAACCAAAACAAAAAGCTTGCGAAAGTCTAACGCCTGTATTCTAAAAGCTCACTCGCACTCAATGAGTGGAGGTTCAATCTGAGCTTCCCTTGAGTGTCAGTGCTGTTTTTGAATAGCTGGAGGGTGAGTAGTCACATAGTAAGGTACGACACTCACCCTCCAGCTATTCAAAAACAGCAATGACGCTCGAGAGAAGCTCAGATTAAACTTCCACTCATTGAGTGTGAGTGCGAGTGAGCTTTTAGAATACGGGCGTAATCCTCCGTGTGAGCGTTGACAAACTGCAAGAAACATGTTAAATTCTAGAGAAAAAAATTGTGTATTTAAGGGAAGATGTACGAACGAGCCCTATTTAATATGGACATGCATATAATGAAAGTCAAGCTTGTTACAAGTGTAATGCTTTGCAAATTTCATCGTTTTAAAATTAATTGCATTATCGTTTTCAAACCGTTCCGGTTATTTTGCGTAAACACTCGTCCGGAATTTCTACGTTTGCAAAATATTCCACTCCGGAGAATGTCTGCGGTTTTGGTGTGCGTTTTCGTCGGATAGGTGGGCACCGAAGGCGTATCCGCTACAGAATGTTTGCAGATACTAAAGAGTCGGGGTAGGTGTGGACGCGGCCTCACTCTCTGTAGAATTATATAATTTTACGTATATAATTGTTGTTATAGACGTCAGCTATAGCTATGTAAAGAAGTCAGCTACATCTTCAAACACGAGATTGAAGTATATTTAGACGCGATATTTCGTTAATTTATTGCACAATTCGTCGTCAGAATCTCCTTATGTTAAATAACCAGTAAACATACTTGCTATGTGAACTCAAACGTTATACGAATGTAGGCTACGTAGCAACAAACAACAACAATGCGTACAATAAGCACTTTGCAGGTGGCCTAATAGCACTTAACATAACATAATAACTGAAGGGCAAAAAATGTTCTGCTTTTTCCTCGTTTCAGTTACAAATTCTACAGTTCTCCATGCAGTCCAGTCACTTATTTTCAAACTTTTTTTCAGGTAACTCTATCAATCATGACTATTCTTTATAGCCTGCACAAACAACCGCCCGATTGCCTTCTTCCTCGGCCTAAAGAGCATCTGCGTAATAAGCCCAAACCATGAAGGGCGCTATAAAACACGGGCGTGGGAACGCGCTTATTATCGCGTGATCTACTGTATGTGTGATGCGCCAGGGAACTGGAACTAGCGCGTTTTGAGAGAAAAGCGTAAAAGAAAAGCAAAATCATGGCGGAAAAAAGATTGTTGTGCGACTTTGAAAGCCATGGCGAAAATAGACGTAAGACCCTTTTTAATGTGAGATTTCTTTTATTAATTTTTAAAAGTAGCACTGTCTATTAGCATTATATATAGCTACTAAGAAACCTTTCATGAAAGAAGCATCCGACGTACGTATTTGAGAAAATAAGTTAGTTTTTCAATTATTTTAACGTGAGGGGAATCAAATTTTATTACTTTACGCACGACAACAGAGATTGAAATCAATGCCGGTCTGAACACTAGGTAGGTCTAGATAAATTTGATAGCTTAAAAATGTGTGGAATTTCTCTGGCTTTAGTACACAATATATACCATGACCGGCTTTTACCGGCTTTTTTGCTATGCTTAAATTTTTGCATTAACATGAAAAGCCTAAGCTCAGCGTGTGAGAGCTAAAACATAAAAAGCCTACCGAATCGCGTTCAAACTAAAAGTCAATGTCAACATTGGTCATTGCAACACAATTTTTCAGTAAATCAAATTCTTAAAAAACTTTAGGTGAATTAACATAATTGTTTTAAGAATTTTTAACCCTGTCAGCATAATTTATTTATAAACAACACTTTTCTATAAATCCAGTGAGAAGTGTCTTTTCAAAAGCGGGCAAAAAGTTTTCTTTATGTACATTGCATTAAAGTTCTCTTATACTTCTTTCATGCATAGACAAAAATGCCTTGTTGATATTTCAACATACTGTCTCATGTATGAACTATAGCTGTTTACTACAAAATTTACAGTTCTGATGATATATATAGTATCATATAATTTATGATTGTTTCTAACAGAAAGTCCGCTTTTTTTGTTAAAACATGATTTTTCGGCTTGGTGTTGACATGGTCTTACAAGAAACGACTGTTAGCCATTAATTTATTTTGCAGGAAGCGCGAAAAAAATGTTTCGACTTAGTCTTGTATCTTTTTACCTGCATGGTGAAAAACTTTGCCTGAAATTTTGCACAGTTATTAATTAAGAGGTCTCTGTAAAGAACGGAAACCGAAACGACCGAATTCGGAAACGACCGAAACCGGAAACGACCGAAACCGGAAAAGACCGAAACTGGAAATTCCCGCCTAATTTCCTGCATAAAATTGCCTAAAATTTAGCATGCTAGCAGGCTTACTGGTAGAAAGGTGAGCCTGCACTGAACCATGCGTTTTATTCATTCA